TAAAAGCCACAGCTGTAGACTGGCTTCCCACCCACCTGCACCCTGGGCAAAGTCTGGCCACCAGTGGTACTTCAGCAACAGCCCTCATGAAGCCAACCAACACAGGCACCAGTGTAGCAGCCACCTTGGAAAGCAATCATCAGATACTTTACCTGCCTTCTCCTACAGCATGCTAAACAGCCCTGGTGACAAGACGTCTCTCTAAAGACGCCTACCTTCAAGAGTCTGTTAAGGAAATTCAACAAAGGAGCAATGGCTTGGGACTGAAACTTGATTTAGCCATTAACATGCAATGATCTCCCTGGCCTCTGGATCTGAATCTGAAAGGGGCTGGGGGAGGTGCCACCCTCCAGCATGTCAATGACAATAAACGAAATCATGCATTCTCTGTCAGCAGAGCTCCCAGAAGTAAGTATAATATGCATGGCAGGTGGTGTTATTAATGACATCCTCAGGTGTTTTCCAAAGTTTGCAATTAGCATGTAAGGGTAATGGTGAAGTGTCAGCTCAAGGCTGCCCCAAGCAGAGCATCCCAGCTTGAAAAGAATGGCCTGCTGCTCTAGTCTGTGTCTGGGTTTTAGCCATTTGCACTGGCTTCCTGATGGCAGATGATACATACAGCTAAGAGAGTTAGTTCCAAGAATATTAATTGATCTCTCCTTATTTGGAGTGAGACTCACCCATCTCTTCTCCCTGCCTCCCTCCTTTGTTGAGTTGATTCAGACAACTCTCCCCAAAGGCTGTGGCCCCATCAGCCACAGCAGCAGCAGGTGACAGCAGCCCCAGAAGCCTCAGACAAGGCAGCAGCAGTGAGCAGAGCATCAAGAGCGTTCCTCCTCCATCTCAGCAAGTGGGAGATTCTGTTCTAAGCACTGGCAAGTGGGGGCTGGTTCCTCCAGAATCCCGGATCTTCTCCAGGAGCCTGGCACCAGGCTCAGGAATTACCGTGAGCACACACACCAAACAGGGCTCCTTCCAGCTGGCATAGGGAGTTGCTGGGTGACACTGAGGAAGGAAGGACCAGAGCCAGCTTCTGGCTAGAACTGACAACAGCCGTGGTAAGGGTGGAGGGTCTCAAAGCCATAAGGCAGCACCACGAAGTTGGACACAGTCTCTAGAAGGAAATCCATCTGTCCTTGAGACTCTGAGAGGAAGAGTCCTTTGCTGGAAGTCATGGAGGGTTGGAAGGGAAGGTGCAGTCTTCCCAAAGGATTCAAGCTCTGTATCAGAGAGCCATAAAAGGAGCTAGCATATAAATAAATCAAGTATCAATGCCAGCATGTTCTCCCAGCCCTCCGGGTGCTGCCAACTTGACCTGGACTTTGGACAAAGCATACAAACCTTTATATCTTCACAGAAGAGAACATTTGAATAGTGCATTAAGATTTGGGGAAGGACAAGTTGGACAGTGGTGGTGCATGCCTTTAATCCTAGCACTCGGGAGGCAGAGTCAGGCAGATCTCGGTGAGTTCGAGGCCAGCCTGGTCTGCAGAGTGAGATCGACGACAGGCACCAAAACTACACAGAGAAACTCTGTCTCGAAAAACAAAAACAAAAACAAAATTGGGGAGGGGCTAGAGAAGTAGTTCAGCAGTTAAGAGTACTTGTTACTCTTCTAGAGGACTGGGTTTGATTCCCAGCACCCACATGGCAGCTTACAACTGTTTGTAACTCCAGTTCCATTGCCCTCTTCTTGCTTCTCTGGGCACTGCGTGCATGTGGTACATAGATATATACATGTGGGCAAAACACTCATACACATAAAAATAAAATAAAAATCTTTTTAAAATACTTGAAGAAACCACTCAGAAAATGCTTTCAGGTTTGGTAGCCCTGCCCAAGCTTGCAGATAATCATCTGCTACCAGTGCATGCCCCAAGACCACATCCTTGGGACAGTGGCCTTCAGGAAAACAGAGTCTAACGGCAAAATATTGATGCTCTTCCCCTCTCTCCCAGCAGGCCTTCTGTTAAATGCCTGAGAACTGGGCTCCAGAAGATGGAGAAGAAACAGAATAGGAAACGTCTCTGCTAGACAAGCAGAGGGAGTAGGAGGTGTGGGGTAGACAGTGAGGGCTCTGGGACCAGATGCCTGGAGCAAAGAGCTAGCCCTATACCCTACTGCCTATGTTAGCTTCGGGGTGCTGCCTAACCTTGTGCCCCGACTTCCCTTTATAGAAAGCAGAGCTAGAACAGTAACACTAGTGACCTGGAAAGGATTCTGAATGGCCATGGGTGGCTTTTCAGGACAAATAGGACAAACACCATGAGGGAAGGTCTGGTGTCTCTACGGGACAGGCAGAGGCCCGTGACAAGGGCCGATGCTTTTAACGGCAGCACGTAGAGGAAACAAGCCCATCCTACGCAACTCAGAGATTTTCCTGAAAAGAAAAGCTCTGGGGACACACAATCCCCAGTCACCAGCCTCCCACTGTCTTACCAGAAGTCTCTTCTTCTTTGGTCATAGCTTTGTTCATTTGGTTGTTGGCATGGTGGTTTATTGGTGGGATTGATTGGGTTTTGTTTTTGTGTTTGATGTTTGGTTGGTTGGCTGGTTGGTTTTGGTTTGGATTTTGTTTTTTTTAGTCAGGTTTTTATGTTACCCAGGCTGGCTTTGAACTCTATATGTAATTGAACATGACCTCAAACTCTATATTCTGCCTCCACCTCCCAAGTGTGGGGATTACATTGCAGGTGTATGCCATCACTTTAGGCTGGCTAAGGTGCTTGAAAAGTCCCTGAATTCTAAGGCAGACAAGCCCTCCACTTCCACAACCCTTGGCTCCTTGGTGGAAAGGGACGCTAAGAAAAGCAGGCAGGGGCAGAAAGAGCGTCTCCCCTCCCTGCCTTCTTCCTTCCCTGTAGCCAGCAGCTCTTCTTTCTCAGGCTCCCCTAAGTCCACAAGACACCTGTTGGGGACAGCCAAATCTTCCCAGCTCCCACAACCCCCTGCCCCCGCCCCCAACTTCCATCCCAGGTTCTCTCTCCGGAGCAAATCCGCACCTGTATTTGTTAATCAAGCCACCGAGGACGCGGTAATTGCCCAGCACAAAACACGGGTGCAGATGTTAGGGAGCACAGGGGCAAAAGCACTAAATGAGATTCTTGTTTCCCAAACAGAGCCCGAGATTTAATTACAGCCTTTCCAAGTGCTTATTAAAAACCCTTATTTTTTTTCCTTATTGTTTTCCTGCATGGCGCATATTGAATCAGCCACTGCTGTTGTCTTGTTTTTGGAGTGTTCATAAAAAGAACCGATGTGGAAAATTGCAAACACAGATTGTACCCAAACAATATCTTCTCCCTCTTCTTTCTTCCTGCTGAATAACAACACCGGTCTGCGTATTCAGTGCACATCCGGGCTCTTTCCCAACAGTAGAAGGGGTTCTCTTTTGGCACTCACAGAGCACCCTGCAAGCACCCCAGAAAGAGCAAGCATGGCTGGGTGTGGTGGCGCATGCCTATAATCCTGGTGCTTGGGAGGTGGAGGCAGGAGGATCAGGAATTCAAGGCCATCTTCACCCTTACAGCCGTAGTGAGTACAAGGGCAACCTGAGCAACATGAGACCCTGTCTCAAAAAGGCAAAACAAGGTGAGATGGTCCAAATGTGAAAATCACCTGCTGCTCTTCCAACAGACCTGATTTTAATTCCTAGCACCCAGGTTGGGCAGTTCACAATCACCTATAATTCCAGCTCCAGGAGATCCAGCACTCTCTTCTGGCCTTCTTGGGCACGTGCACGCAGGTAGCTGAGAGAGAGAGAGAGAGAGAGAGAGAGAGAGAGAGAGAGAGAGAGAGAGAGAGAGGAGAGAGAGAGAGAAACATAAATAAAAATAAAATCTTTTTTTTTTTTTTTGGTTTTTCGAGACAGGGTTTCTCTGTATAGCTTTGCGCCTTTCCTGGAACTCACTTGGTAGCCCAGACTGGCCTCGAACTCACAGAGATCCGCCTGGCTCTGCCTCCCGAGTGCTGGGATTAAAGGCATGCGCCACCACCGCCCGGCTAAAAATAAAATCATTTTTAAAATAATAAAAACAGAAAAAGAATGCCAGAAAGAACACATGATCTCTAAGGGAGGGGGGTATGAAGGAGAAGGAAAGAGAGAAGGGGAGAGAAGAAGGGACAGATGGACACATGTATGGAAGACTGAGAGCCTCCACCCACTGATGCCAAGATGGAGTGCTTCTACCCTCCCACTGGCCCAAAGAGGTGACAGGATGGAACTGAGACCAAACTAGTTCTCCTGACCACGGGTTTGAGGTAGCCTTCTGCCCTCTTGACGCTTCTGGGGCCCTTACCCACTAAGCCCTACGGGCTTCTTTAAGCCCATAAAGGTCTTCATTCAAAACAGAGGCTATCTATCTCCTGATGCCTTCTCACCTAGAAGTCCATGTTGATGACCTGCTGTGCCCAAGGACCAGAGTTAGGATCACAGCCAGAGAGAGCGCCACCTAGGGGCTCACAGGTGGAACTGCCACTTAACCTCTGAAAGACGCCATCTACTGGAAAAGTCAGTCGGCTTCCCTTTCACAGAAGTAAAAATTCAAGGGGCGACAGGGTGGGGTGTGGGGGTACAGATTCAAGGGGCAACAGGGTGGGGTGTGGGGGTACAGATTCAAGAGGCAACAGGGTGGGGTGTGGGTGTGATCAGACCCTTCCACATGTCCCCAGGTCCCCACCAGAGCCCCCTTACCTCAGGCTATGCTCCCCACCTCCCGCAATGTTCTGTCCCCATTGACACTTGAAAGTGGAACAGGCTTTCAGAGGAGAGGCAGCTAGTCCCTTCCTGCTGCTCTGCCGACAGGTGTGGCAGGAGGAGGTGGCAATTAGTGCCAATTTGGAGGACTGATGCGGCATGGGGAAGGCTTCTCATCAAGGAGTGTTTAAATTCTGCTCCTTCCTTCCATCTCCCACTCCTCATAATGCAGCAGCATCAGCAGGCCCCTGCCCTCCGCTCTGCTCCTCATTAGCCCAGATTGCTCTGGTGGCCACGGCAGCGACAGGGAAGACAGAGAATGGAGCCACCTGCTTCTCCCTGCTGCCCACGCGAGGAGCAGCTCTGCTGAGCTCACAGCCTCCTGGAGAGGAGGGGCCCCGCGTGCTTCAGTAACGGGTGTGAACACAGAGAACTCTTGTCTTTCCCTGAACTTTGTCTCTGTTCCTCCGGTTCGATCTTTCAGCATGTGCATGTGTATGTGTGCATGTTCAGGTGCATGTGCACATATGTGCTACACATTTGGAGGGCAGAGATTAATGATGGACTTCTTTCTTGATCGCTCTCCACCTTATTTATTGAAACAGGGTCCATCACCGGAACCTGGTCTGGCCAGCCTTCCCTAGGGATCCATTTCCTGAGGGCTGGATTACAGACGGAGCCAGCTCTGGAGATCCAGACTCAGCAAGTGCTCTAGCAACTGAACCATCCCCAAGCTCCTAACCTTACGTAAGGATGAGCCTTGGGGTGAGAAGAATTATGGGAAGAGATGGAAACTGGCAGATTCCCTCCTGACCCTCTCCATCCCCAAAAGTGACACTTAAGGAGCATGATAACGCCACCAACCTGGAGGAAGCTTTGCCCCTTTGGGAATGTGGGTCATGCATGGGTAGGGGGTGGGGGTGCAGGGAGGGGACTAACTGGGCAAAATGCGGCAAGATCAGTGGTATGATCAATGGAATCTTCAAAAAGTGGGATCTCTGTGGCTGGAGCCGTACCTCCATTGGTAGAGCGCTTCCCCAGTATGTGCAAAGCCGTGGGTTGGAGCCACAGCACCACATAAACCAGGCACGGTGCACATGTGTATAATCCCACACGCGACAGGGAGAGTGAGACAAGAGGATAGTTTGTTCAGGGCCATCCTTGGCTACATAATGAATTCAGGGCCATCCTGGAACACAGGAGATCGTCTTTTTTTTTTTTTTTTTTTAAGTGTTACTTCTAATGAGACTCTCTAGGGACAGAGTCCCCACCAGAATCCTGGAACTTGGGAGAACAAGACTGTACCAAATGCTCAGAGGGAGTCTCCCTTTGCTTTTCACACTCTCACCTCCAGCAACTGCAGAGCTGAACCCCCCCCTTCCCCACCCCCAGGCCCTGCTGAGACACTGAGACATCTGCCTATTGGGATATTAATGCCAGGCCTGGAGGCTGCAGTCTGGGTGACACCACCTCTCTGCAGAGGAGCGGGAGTGCTCCCTGTGGTACACGTCAGGGTCCATGTTCTTGTCGTGATGGTGACCATGTGGACAGCAGCAGCTTCCCAGCCTGGCGGCCTTCGAGTCCTTTCCTCTTGCTCTTCTGGTGATACAAAGACTTACTTCTCTATAAAATGCCTTTCTGTCTGCCCCTGGAGCAGTTTCTGTTTTCTGCCTTAGACCCAAGAAACAAGTCTTCATGTCCATTTCATGGATGAAGCTCACAGAACCGAAGTGACTTGCCCCAGGTCCCACCTTAACGGAAAAGGCAGAGTTAATACCAAAGTCAGCTTTCCCCTCCAAACCAGAGTTCTTCAGTGACAGAATGAAAAGTAGCTGTCCCCTTAAGTCTCCCTGTCCTCCTCAACCCAGCCAGATTAGCACACATGTACACGTGATGTGAACATGTATAAATACATGAGATGGTCATATGTGGGTCCTGGTGCATTTTTATTCTGTGGGTCTCAATACTGAAGGGTTTTGTCCCTGGACCCACCAAGAATCCAAATGCCCCTGCTGCCACCTCTGCACTGTGCTTCGATTAAAGATCTTTCCAAGGAACAAGCTTTCATTTCATGGATGATTCAGAATCTCTGTTCGGAGGAAATTGAGGTTTTGCTGGCCGTTTTCCCACTTGAGACGTGGTCAGAGCTCACCATAAAAGCACATAAAGACAATGTAAGTCAGCTGCTAGGAACCACAAATAAAGAAGCTGAACCAATGAGAAAAGTCTCTGCAGGGGACGCAGCTAAGCTCTGGGTTTCCCTAGGAAGGCTGTTAATAGCCTGTCACCTGAGGTCAGGGAGAGACCCAGCAAGCAAAAGCCAGGGAGCAGCCTGGCTGCAGGAAGCTCTGGACCTGGGTTATCCAGCTGGGGTCCCCCTGGACCTCAGGAAGTTGTGCCCAAGCCTTCAACTGAGCAGTTTCTTCCTGAAAATGGAAAATCCAGTCTACCCTTAAGGAATGAGAAGTGGCCTGGATTGGCACCGTAAAAGGATGTGATGATTAAGTTTGTCAACTTGAATTTAGAAACACTTTAGGGGCTAGAGAGATGTCTTAGTGGTGGTACTTACAGGACCAGGGTTCCTTTCCCAGCACTCATACGATGGCTTTATGTGTAATTCCAGTTTCAAGGACTCGGATGCCTTCTTCTGACCCTTGTGGGAAGCAGGTGTGCAGATGGTACACATGCTGGCAAGATTCATACACATGAAGCAAACTAAGTACATCTCTAAAAAAAAATTAGGAAACATCTTAGACATTAATGAGGCATACCTCTGGGTATGTCTATGAGGATGTTTCCAGGGGGATTTAACCCTAAGGAGAGAAGACAGAGGGTGACTTTGTTCCATGAGCTGGGGAGTCCAGGGCTAAATTAAAAAGAAAAGGAGCAAGCGGCCTGAGGACCTGAGCTCCTCACTCTGCTTCCTGACCCACCCAGATGTGAACAAGTTCCCACGGATGCCACTGTGCTTCCCCCACTGCCCTGACGGACAGTATCCTCTGAACCACGAAATAAACATGTGGCCTCTGAAGTTGCTTCATGTCCTCATTTGTTCTCGGCAATGAGAAAAGCAGTGCCAAGGGTGTGTGACAGGTGGGGACAAGCTCCTTCTCTGGGGAGCACTGTGTCTGGCCTTCAGCAGGTAATTGGCTACTCTCTTTCACTTCTCCTTTCCTGAATCTAACATGTGATGCCTTATGAGAAGTAGTGTAGTGGGCTTTCTTGGACTGCCAGCCCCCAAATCATGGCATGGAGATTCATTATTAATTATGAATGCTCAGCCTTAGCTTAGGCTTGTTTCTAGATAGCTTTTTTTTTAATTTAAATTAACCATTTCTATTTATCTATGTGCTGCCCCGAGGGTCATTTACCTCATCTACGTACTGTCCATCCTGCTTTCCTGCTTCCTCTGTGTCTGGCTGGCTGGCCCCTGTGGGCTGGCCACCTCCCCTATCACCTGCCAGCCCCACCTATCCTTCCTCTGCCTAGCTATTGATCATTCAGCTTTTTATCAGACAAACCAGGTGCCTTAGGCAGGCAAGGTAAAACAGCAACACATCTTTACATAGTTAAACAATTATTCTGCAATACAAACAAATGCAACACGACTCTACATAGTTAAACAAATATTCTGTTCCACAACAGAGCAGCCTGGCCTGCTTTGAGAAGTTTCCCAAGTCCTACCAGCCCCTGGGCCAGTGCAGGTGTCTCTCAGCCCAGAGTGTTTCCATCAAATCCTTCCCTAGTCTCTCTCCATGTCCCTGGACCTTGGAGTGGGGTGCAGTACCTGGAGAGTGTGGTATGTGGTGTGGAAGGGTGGGGCAGGGTGTGTGATGGAGTAAGGTATATAATGTGGTGGAGTAGGTGTCTAGTGGGCTGGATATATGGAGTGTGTAGTGTGATGGGGTGTGTTTGTAGTTGGTGAGGTGTGTACATGTAAATCTGTCAACTGACCTTTCGTGGTGAAATGATCCTTTTTTCTGAGGTTGTCCCTTCCTTGGCATGGTCCCTTTACCTAAGTGAAATAGCCTTTCCTTTATGGCTTGATAACAACAGTTAGGTTGCTATTGTTTCAAAATTGGCAGTTATTTCTTCTCCCTCTCTGTCTTCCCTGACAAAAGGAGTCGGCTCCATGACTTCAGCCAGGGTGGTTTTGGTTTTCCTGGTTTGTGCAGTGTACCTTACCAACAGTGCCCATGCATGTGCATGCATGTAAACACCATCTTGCCGAACAGATACTCAAGCCAGGCCAAGGTCATCGCCTCCCACTCTGCTCTCCACACAGGTGCCCACCTCCATGGAGTAGCTGGAACTCTGAGGCTAAGGCCTGGACTGCTGATTGACTACAAGATGTCAGTCACAGGCACTTCAGACCACTTCAGGCATGGGAGGGTCCCTGTATCACATCCTGCAGATGTAAATCCACACTTTTGGCATCAGGCCTTTGGGAATCATGTCCTCAAGAAAGCATCTGGCTATTTTACAAGGCTATTGGAAACGTATAAAATACATGACTCCATCCCAAAGGCTCTCAGGGGAGGCACACCTGACCCAGCAGAACATTGACGACCCATCACACTCTTGCTCATCAAGCTTAGCTCATGGCAGACCCTGCAAACGGCAGCTAAGAGCAACATTAGATGCTGCTCCTCACCCTTCCTTTCTCATTTGTCAACTTAAGCTGTCACCAAGAGGAAAAGAAGAGAGTGACAACCTGGAACAGAGTAGGAGGGAACTTCGAGACTTGTGGGTTCCAGACACTGGTCACTTCTGTTTCTTGGGCTGTGGAATGTTGTTCCAGACTTTCCCATCAAGTTATCACCAAAACCTTCCAAGGGACCTAGTGATGAGTGCAGACAGAGAAGACAGGGCCCAGAGGAAAGGTCTTCAGGACCTGGAGGTCACAGAGAGGCTGGGAGCAGCATGAGATGGTCCCTAGAACCCTGTGCTTCAAATTCAATGAGGAGTGAGGACAAGAGAAGAGGGGGTCCCCAAAATTCCATACTCCAGACTCATCAGAAGGATGTAGATAAGAGGAAGAGATTGCAATTATCTGTCCTAGCTAGTCTTATGTCAACTTGAGACAAGCTAGAGTCATTTGAGAAGAAGGAACCTCAATTAAGAAAATGCCTCCATAAGGCTGTAGGGCATTTTCTTAATTAGTGATCAGTGTGGGAGGGCCCAGCCCACTTTGGGTGGTGTCATCCCTGGGCTGGTCGTCCTGGATTCTATAAGAAAGTAGGTTGAGTAAGTCATGGGGAGCAAGCTAGTAAGCAGCACCCCTCCATGGCCTCTGCATCAGCTCCTGCCTCCCGGTTCCTGCCCTGTCTGAGTTCCTGTCCTGACTTCCTTCAGTGATGAACAGCAATGTGGAAGTGTGGGCCTTTCCTTCCCATCTTGCTTTGTCCATGACCTCTCATCACAGTAGTGACCTTAAGATATGATCCCAGGCAGTAGGTTCACTGGGAGGGTTAGGACAGGAGGAGAGGGTTCCCAGGACTCTGCTGTAAGTTCCCTGGAAGAGTGGAGACAGGGCAGAGTGTCCTCAGGACACCAGGCTGCCAGTTTACCATAGAGAGGCAGACAAAAGAAGGTTCTCCCGTAGAGTTTGGGATCCATAGTGTCTCCAGAACATGCTCAGTAAACTGCACAGGGTACACTTCCTCAGTCCCCTACCCCAGCCATAAGGCCCCCGTCATGGTCTCCTAGGATAATACCCCACTATGATTTGTTACCCATCTCCCACATCCTGAGCTCCCTCGTTCTACTTCAGATCTCAGGATTCTCAGGGCATGTCTTGAGGGGCTCACAGGCCTCATGTTCCATGGCGCCATATATTTCCAGATGTCATTATCACCACACCCTTCTCAGTCAGGACACCCCAACTCCAGCTGCCTGGCCTCGTCATCCACCACAAAGAAAGACATCGCTACCCCTACAGAGACCCCCCCCACCTTCCTTTGCTCCAGGTCAGAGCCACAGGCCCCCTTGTTCATCACAGGGTTTTGCTTCCATCACTTGCATTTCGCCTTACCAACACCAGACTTAATTTGTGTTGCCATGGCAACTCAACCACAATCACTTAAGCCTTGACTCCAGTGCTAAGGGACTTGGGTCTGTGCTCTTCAGTCCTTGCTGGGGCACACCCTCGAGGCTGGTAAACATGTTGGGCACAGGTATGTCACCGGCAGAGGGACGTCTGCCCTGTTGGGGATTTCTGGGTTTTCCTGCAATATGGAATTAGAGTAAATAAACAAGAAGCTTGATGTTTCTCGGAGCTGCCTATTTTTTCTCTGGTGCTCTCCGCTACTCCCTCAGCCCAAGTCACCTGTTTCTCTGTCCTGGACTTAGCTAGTGGCAGACAGGGTGAGAGAGCAGGAAAGTAGGCCACTGCTGGTCTCCCTGCCATCTGTTCTCCACCCTGAGAGATGTTTTGTCGCTGCAAATGGATTCGATGAACCTCTGTGATACTCACTGGGAACTGCCTTTTTTCCCTTGGGGTAAAGTCCTTTCCTGGTGTCAGGCCCTTGGTCAATAGGTCTGATCATCTCTCTCTTCAAAGCCAACTACTCCTTCATCCCCAGCCTTCAAACCCTGCCCTGCCCTCTGATCTAGCCTCTGCACTTCCTGTAATTCCCGATGTTCAAATATGCTTCTGCCCTCCGAGCCTTGGCACACTTCATTCCCTGGCTGTGCCTCTCATTCCCTAGTCTAGTTAAATCCTGCACAGCCTTCAAATCCCAGCTGAGCCCTCACTTCCCGACAGCCTTCCCGACAACCACTTCCCGACAGCCACTGTCAGCCAGGCCGGATGTCCCTGCACACTCTCCACCATCCTGTCCTCCCCATAAGACTAGACCACTCCTACCCTTGGGATCTAGGGCTGCCTCCCCACCAAAGCCAGGCCCTGAAGGTGGACTGGTTTTGTTTGTCTCTCTTCAAACAAAGCTCCTATGTGTACACATGCGCACACACACACACACACACACACACACACACACACACACACACAAGTGCACACACGCTAAGGAATTTGGTGTGTGAACGAGTAAAGAAATGAAGCTGGCAGTGGTGTCTGCATGAGCGACTGTGAGCAGAGCATTTCAGCTACAGAAATCTCATCGAGAGCCTGAATGGTACTTCTCCAGTCGCCTCAGCTTATAGAGTAGAAGAGAAGGCCTCAAAGCTGGAAACAGTCAGCATAAGGCACCTCCTACATTCCTAAGGGAGCTTCCAGAAACACAAGAAAGCTCTGCCTTAACTATAGTCACAAGACCATCCCTAATTTGTATCAATAGAAATCAAGAGAGAAGTCAAGGTCATTTTCAGGAACACTGTTGTGGACCTGTGTTGGAGAGTTCACGCCCCTCCCCTCCCTCTCCCTGGGGAGGGAAAAGGTGCTGGGCTGCAACTGAGTCAGGCACTAGGGAGATGGATCAGCAGGTAAGAGCACTTGCTGCTCTTCCAGAGGACCCAGATTGGTTTCCAGCACTCACATGGAGACTCACAACTGTCTGTAACTCTAATTCCAAGGGATCTAATGCCCTCTTCTACCTTCCAATGGTACCAGTCACACACATGGTCCACAGAGATACACGCAGGCAGAACACCTATACACATAAAATAAAAATCAACCAGTCTTCCAAAGGAAAGAAAGAAACCTCAGTACAGTGAGCAAGGTGCTAACAGAAGCATTCCCAAAGGCTAAGAGTGTCTCAGAAAGGGTGTGCCTGATGAAGGTGCCCAGCTGGTGCCCCCGAGTCTACAGGACATCTCTCCCCATGTGAGCAGCAGAGAGGCAACTTCTACAGCAGCACTAAATAGGAAGGTTTCTGACCCTGAAATGGCAGCTCTCGCTCAGCCCTCCCTGCCGAGCTGAGGGAGAACTGGAGTGCTGAACTGGATGCAGGATGGTGTGACTAGATGGAGCTAGTTCACATCCAATTGCCTTTTACATCCTCAAAGAAACCTCGGTGTGTGATGTCACCAGGGAGTGGCATGGGCAATTCATCCCAGGTTCCTCTGAATTCT